CGCCGGTCGCGACATTGTTTCACTATATGCTAATTTAAAAAAATAAAAAAGTTAATAAAAAAAAGAAAATTAAAATGAGTAATAGATACTTAAAAAAAAGAATTGGGTGTATAAAACTGCAGTGTTATATATTTATGCCTAGTTATAGTACAGCTTAATAATAATTATATCATTGTATTTATATTTTGTTTAACTTCAGCACTAAATGCCATTTTTCTCAACTTTCAGAGCCCACATCTCATGGCCACCTGCTCACGGGGCCCATCATCTCAGTTATTCAGCAAACAGTCCAGTGCCCTCCATGTACAGGGCTCTGTGCTGGGTTTTGTGGCTACAGAGATGAATACTACATTACAGTTGTCCTGAAGCACATATGACTTAACAACCTTGTAAGTAAATGAAGCATGATGTAGCATGGTAAGTGTTATAACAGAAACATAAAAAGACTAAGAAACTAGCTCTTCTTTAGGGAATTTGGGGAAAGCTACCACAAGGAGGCACTGAGTGACCTGGGGCTTCTAGGCATGAATAGAAGTTTTCCAGACTGAAGGGACCAGAAGAGAGGAGAACATTCTAGGAAACAAGAATCATGATGTGCAAAGTCTCTGGATGAAAGCAGGTGTGACTGGGAAGTAGTAAGTTTCTTGTGGAAGGAACACAGGACACCGAGCTGGGTAAGTTCTCCATATCACAAAGACCGTTGCACACAAAGCTGGGAGCTTGATTCCTTTGGTAGAAACAGGACTAGCTTTGACTTTGGAGAGGGAACCTCTAAAGAGAGTATGAAACACTATTATTAACCAAATGACTATACTGGGATAGCTTATTTGTGTTTTGTTTTGTATTTTGCCTTTATTGGCTGTTATAACACAGCCTGTTCATTACATTGGCCTGTAATGAACACATTTATTTATTGGGCTTTGCACAGATTCTTAGTTATTTCCTCAAGAACCCCTTTGGAATGAAATTAGTTAAAGGGATGCACATTTTTAAGGCCTTAGCTAGTCAAATTGTCCTCCAGAAAGGCTGTCCCAACTTCATTCACACAAGCAGTGTTTAAGAGTGTTCTTTCCCCTCTCACACCCTCATCAACATAGAAATTATAATTTTTATAATTCTTTACTTATTGATACACAGTTAGCAATATCTCATTGTATCAATTTACTTTTTTTTTTTTTTTTTTTTTTGCCAGTGAAGTTTCTTTTTCATGGAAAACAGGCACTAATATTCCTGCTTTTGGAAGGCATTTATACTCCTACTTTCCTATTGGTATATATGCTTTTTTATTGCCTTCTAAGAGCTCTTTGTGTATTAAGGAGATTCTGGTTTTGCCATATATGCCATATATGGTAAATAAATTCTTTCAGTTTATTATGTCTGTACATGTCTGCCCTCCCCTACTAACTTTAGCCCCTGTGGGAAGAGACATCTTTGAATCCCCCACAGCACACAACATGGTCTCTCTTCTGTTGTCGGTGTTCATCAAATATGCTGGGAAGAATGTTTCCATTATTTTTGTCCAACCTACTTTATAAAACTCATTCTGCCCTACTCTGCAAGAGAAAGGGGATCAGTTGAATAGGCACACTCCCTTTATTCACAAGAATATCCAAAGTTGTCTTATTGCCTTCATTCATTTAACAAATATTTACTGAGAACCTTTTATGTGCCAGGCACTGTCCTAGATGCTGGGTATACTGGAGTGAACAAACTCTTACATTCTAGTTGAGGGAGACAGATAGTAAACAAGACAAAGAAATAAAATATGTATTATGTTAGGTTGTAATCAACGTTATGAAGAAAATCAAAGCAGAGGGGGTGGTCAGGCAGACCCACTGCGAGGGTGGAAGGGGTGGAAGTGTTAGCCAAGTGGATATCTGCAGGAGAAGCATACTAAGAAGACTGAGCAATGCATGCAAATGTCCCCAGGCAGGAGCGTGCATTCAAGGCCTGATGCATTCATAGACCAGCAAGGTCAGTGTTGCTAGAGCGCAGTTAGCAAGTTCAAGAGGCTGGTGGAGGAGCACAGATTGCATACAGCTTTGCAGACCATTATAGGACCTTGCTTTCTGTCTGAATGAAATGGGAGGGTTTGGAGCCAAGGAGTGGCTTTGTCTGCCTTACATTATAGAGCGACAGTGCTGGCTGGTGTGCTGGGACTACACTGGAGGTGGGGGGCAAAGGTAGAAAGAGGGAGACCTGTTAGGAAGATGTTAGTAATCCAGGTGAGAGACCACGGCAGCTCGGACCAGGTGAGAGCAGTGGAGGTGGTGAAGAAGGGTCAGGCTGTGGGCATATTTTTGACAGCAGCAACGCCAACAGCCTTCTCTGATGAGATGGATATAAAGTATGAAAGAAATAGAGTAATAAAGACTGGCTTTGAGAAATTTGGCTTGGGGAACTGAAGGATGTAATTGACATGATGTAGAAGACACAGGCAGAGTAGGTTTGGGGGAAAGATTAAGACTTTGATTTGGGGGGCACCTGGGTGGCTCAGTCGGTTGAGCGTATGACTATTGATTTTGGCTCAGGTCATGATCCCAGGGTCATGGGTGGGATCAAACCCTGTATCAGGCTCCATGTTCAGCATGGAAACTGCTTGGGATTCTCTCTCTCTTTCCTTCTGCCCCTCTATCCCACTCACACACTGTCTTTAAAATAAAATAAAATTAGAATAGAATAGAATAGAATAATAAAATAAAATGTGTGTGTG